AGAGGTGGGACTGGCCAGGCTCAGCCCAACCAAGTCTGGGAGCAGAGGACACTGAGTGAGGGATCCCCAGGGCCACCCTCACTGGCCTGTGGCTCTCCCGACACCACAAGAGAGGTCCAGGAGCTGACCTTGGGTCCTAATGGGGGACACCTTCCTGGCTGCAGGCTGGCAGGGTGGTGTGGTGGTCAGTGTACTGGGCTCTGCGTCTCCGCCCCTACCTGCTGCTGTGTGACGGTGGGCCAGACACCTAACCTCTCTGTGCCTCTATTTCTTCAATGGCGAACAGGGACACTAGCAGCCCCCACATCCGGGCACAGTGGCCTGAAGGTTAAAGTCAAGGGCGGCACGAGACCTACAGCAAAAGCTCTGAGCAGGGAGAGCAGGGAGCTGCCCAGAGAGTTCCACCACCATCTCCCCTCTGGCCACCGAGGAAACCGAGGCTCATGGTGACCTGGCCCAGGTCTGTTGAACTCACGGTCCTCTCATCCCAAGATCAGAGGGCTGCCACCAGGAAGGAGCTGGCCCCTAGACACAGCCCAGGAAGCACACAGGGAAGGATGCCCTGGGACTTCGGTATGTTATTGCAAAGAAAAATTTATTGCTATTTGAACCCTGCTTTCATGCCCCATTTCCCAGAAAATGAGCCACGGAGACACCAGGAGAGGGAGGAGACCATCCTCCTTGCACAAAACCCACTCCCTCGATGCCGTCCTCAGCGAGGGTGGCTGGGGGCAACCAGGGGGCCCACCCGCAGAGTGGCAGAGGAGGCAGGTTGACCCTGCGGACGTTGAGCTCTGGTGGCGAAGGTCCTGGCCTTCTGGTAGAAGAGGAGCGACTTCTCACGGTCCAGGAGGAAGTTGTGGGAGACGGTGGCCGCCACGTGTAGATCTTCAGCTGTGCCTTCTTGTTGCCCAGGTCCACGGCGGCTGCCAGTGCCAGCTGGTAGTACTTCAAACGGGTCCTGAAGGGGACAGGTCATGCTCAGCAAAAGGGGACTCGGAGCCCGTCTTCCCAGAGGCCGTCCTGTCTCCAGGTCATTCCACGTGTCCAGCCAATGCTGGCTCACCCCATGACCCCGAAACCTGTTACACTGCTGTGGTCTCAGCTGCAGGAAGTGGGGACGACCCTGACACACTGGAAGCCTTCCTGACTGCCCTACGCCCCACTCACCCCAACCGTCCTGCCCCAGTGCCACCCTCTCGCAGGCAGTGGCTGCTTTCCCCATGGCCGAGGTCAGGGCAGATCCTGCCTGCTCTGAGAGTTCCATGCAGGACCCGTGGCTCCGAGCCACAGCAGGGCACAGCGTTGAGTGACCCAGGCTCCCCTGGCCCCTGTCCATGCTGACCATTTCCAGGCCCTCCACGGGACAGGCCAGGTACAAAACATCTCACAGGTGTCCTCTCGGCAATGTTCCCTGAAATATTGACGGAGTGTGACCCCCAGACATCCACTCCCATTTCAATGCATCTTTGGCCCAAACTCACCATCCCTGGGTTGGGATGCCGCCTCCCAGACCTCCTCCTTGACCCTCCCATCCCCACACCGGCTTCTCCCCAGGCGCCTCCTCCACATGGGGGTCACCCAAGGAACCTCTCTGAGACCCATGCCTGGCCTGTCCTCTTTACCATCTCAAGATGGCTCCCAGGGTCAAGGACAAAGTCCAAGATGCAGCAAGTCCATTCCCCACTGCCCCGCCCCACACACGGAGCAGGGGCATGAGAAGGCCCGAGTCACCGCCACTGCTCATCCAATGCCCCCGGCCCAGCCGAACACTGGACTCTGTGCTGGGTGCGTTGCTGAGCCTAACGTCCTGCTCCCAGTCTGAGGACCTGGAGTAACACTGACCACACAGGGGGTGGCCAGGAAGCCCAGGAGCCTGTGGGGGGCCCAGGAGGCCCCAGACTCAGCCGGGGTGGAAGGCAAAGGCTTCCTGAAGGGGTGGGGGCTCCCAACTAAACAGGAAGGAGCCAGCCAATGCATATGTCTGGTGTGTGTGCCTGTTGCGTGTGCCTGTGCGTGTTTGTGTGCCTGGTGTGCGTGTCCTGTGGTGTGCCTGTGTGCATGTCTGTGTGTGCGGTGTGCACCTGTGTGTGCGGTGCCTGTGTGTGCGTGTGCTGTGATGTGCATTTCCATGTGCCTGTAGTGTGTGCAACAGCTAGTGAGTGGCAGGCTGAGCCAGGACACACTAATCTTCCCTATTCCAGGGCTCACTCTCACGTGTACACTAAAGGGGACCCCATTTTAGAGGCAATCGGCAAAGATGCCCATTACCCCTGCCTCTCTGCCAGCCTTCCAGGCCCATGCAGCCCGGCGTTTTCTCCTACTCCTCTGGGCCCTGGGTCCAGAGCCTCCTATACAAGGAGGAGGTGTAGCCTTGGAAAGACAGCCGCCCTTGGGGAATTCCAAGGGGGCCTCCCTGTGGGAAGCTGGCCTGCGCTGACAGCATAGTCACGAGAGGCCCAGAGGCTGTGCATGGAAGAGGTGGAAGGAGGCCTCTGCCCCTCAACCCCAACCGTGGACTTTGGCCTCTCAGTACTACTTGGCCCTTTCCTTCCTCCTGGGCAGGCGGAGGGGCGGCAGGCTTGACCAAGAGAGATAAAGGCCTCTTCTGGGAGGCCCGTCTCCCTGGGTCCCAGGCGACCCCTGAGCGGGTAGTGCGTCCCTCGGGTCTGACACTTGGCACCTCCCTGTCTGGCTGGGACTTGGGAGGCCACAGGACCACTTCTGACCACCAGGTGTCGCCAGCACTGGGCGGGGGCCTTCCGGCAGCCCAGGCCTGCGGTGGGGATACATACGGGGCGAGGTCGTAGGGCTGCCCCAGCTCCTCATGTTGTTCTAAGGACCCCAAGATCTCGGCCCTGGACTGGAGTGCCCTGGCCCCTCAGCCCATAAGGAGCACTGATGCGGTGCCGTGCGATGCTGAGGAGGGGCGGTGCCTGCTGGGCAGAGGGGTGGAGACACCCAGGTCTGATCTGACAGTCCCAGCTCTCCACCCCTGCAGGGCTGGGGGCAGAGGGAGCACAGCACCTCCGCTCCAGACAGATGCCACCCAGCAAGGCCTCAGCCTGGCTGGCTGGGGCCCCGCCCCACTGCACCTGCCCTGAGCTGGGGTTTCCCTGTCTGTGAACCCGATGGTAAGACACTGGTCCCACCCCACCCTTCCTGGGTGATGTGAAGATTCAAGGTGTCTCGGGACTCCAGGAAGGAGTTGCTCAGTGCAGGCTGGCACCCTGGCAGGCTTCCTAGAGGAGGCGCCAGGATTTGGGTTGGATCTTGCAATGTGGATTCAATGTGAGGATGATGCCGTCCTCCAAATGTCCTTCTCCGACCCTGTTTTCTTTGTTAAATGCAACTTGACACTTGACTGTCAAGACTCAGTTTTGGTTGTCACCTCCTCCAGGAGGGTCCCCCTGACTACAATCCCCCTTCTTTACCCAGAGGCCACCGTTGCCCACTCATGTGTCAGCCTCCCTGGCTGAGACTGAGTTCTTGAGGTGAGGCCTGGCCAGCTTGGGAGCTGGGTTGTATCTGCTAACATTGCCGGTTCCTCCAGCCGCGTGCAGAGCTCCAGGGAGGCCACTGGGCCATTCCTAAGGCAGGCTGGAACCCAGGCCTCGGTCAGGTAGAGATCCCACTCCAAGGGGGCGGGAACACCCCGAGCCCTGCCCCTCCCACCCACCTTCAGGTCATAGAAGATGATGTCACCGAGCACCAGGTACACCTTCCACGTAGTAGGGGTCTCCTCGTCGAACTCCAGTGGCGAGTTGCAGAGCTACAGGGCCTTGAGGTAGAACTGCTCGCCAGCTTGCCCTGGCCCAGCTGATGGTGCAGGCGGCCAGCCGGTGGTAGGCCACGTGCTCTTCAGCCGGTCCCCTGGGGTGCAGGCCAAAGGGGCAGGTGTGAGGACGCGGCTCCCTGGGCAGGGAGGGCACAGGCCCCTCAGGAGCAGGTATGCAGACCCCGGCAGCACACCCGGCTTGCCTCCAGGCACCTGCGGTCGCCTGGGCAGCTCTGGCCAGTCCCTTCCAGGTTCCAGACTCACTTTCCCATCTGCAAAGCAGAACTAATAAGGCCTGCCCCTGTCTACTGTGAGGCTTTGGCAAAGTCGGACTTGGATGGCCCAGCTCTGTGCCTACACATAGCCACCTGCCTTTGCTCACTGGTTTTAACCAGGGGAGCCCAAAGCCATGCAGTCCAGTGCTCCCGGGCACCCCGGCTCCAGGCAACCCACAGACGTGACATCCGACTCCTCCTGCGTGTGTCACAATCAGAGCCCCCTACTTTGGGAGTCAGCTGCACACCTACTGTGTACTGGCCACGGGCACAAGGTGCTGGGGCATGCGGCCTGCCTAGGTTCCCTGTCTCTGGAGGGGGACAGATGACCCTGGCACAGCACCAGGGGATGCCCGGCCTTAAGGGGCAGACTGCGGAAGGGAACTGGGATTTTATCAGCCAGAGAGCCGTGTGGTTGATGAGTTGGGAAGGGCACAAGATAAAGGGAATGTGCCACTCAGCCTGGCACATACAGGGACCAACGAGATGCCTGGCATGTCTGGAAGGCAGAGGGCACACTGGACGGCCCTTGTGGTCAGCAGCGGGAACAGGCAGAGGAAGCAGAGCTCAGTCAGGCAGGAGCTCTGCACTGGTGAGAGACCTCGGGCTGTGCCCCACAGCCGGATGGGGAAGCCAGTTGGGCAGATCTGCCTGCCTGGACAGGAGACCAGGAAAATCAGCAGCTGTTTCAGCTCCTGCCCTGCAGACCTGGAGGCTGGGCTCTGGCAAAGTGTGGGTCCTGGCAGGGTGGGGCTCAGGGGACTTACCCAGAGTGATGCTGAGTGCTAGGCCATGTAGGCAAACTCCAAGCCTCCTGGGGCTCTCCAGTGTGCCAGGATGCCACCAGCTTTTTGCACAGCTGTAGCTGCAGCTCCGCCTTGCAGTTGCCCGTAGTCACTGCCAGGGCCAGGGCCAGGACCGGTCCCTACCACACAGGCAGGTGGGGTCAGGTTTCCCGCAGCACCCACCTTGCCCAGCGCCCTCCCAGAGCTCAAACATGTGCTTGGAGCTTCCCACGCCCCAGCTACCCCTGCACCTCCACACAGCTCTGTGCTCTGGGATAACACACAGTTCAGACACCCAAGTTGGGGCTGAAGAGTCACCTGAGGCCCATCCAGCTACACCCAGCAGCCTCAGACCAGCCTCTCCCACCTGGGCACCAGGGGTCTGACTGGGGGGAGCCAGCACTCCTCTCTGCTCTAAAAACACATTTATCTGTGCCCAGGGCTGAGCCACACCGTGAGCTCAGAGGAAGGGAGAAGCCGTCCCACTTCGGGGTGCAAGCAGACCTGGGCCTCCCACTGACATGCTGTGTGTCCTTTGACATGTCCCTGTGCCTCTCTGAGCCTGTTTCCTCATCTGGAAGATGGGGACAGGACTTCTCGCTCATGGTTGCTTGAGATCATCAGGTACAAGGGTAGAGCCATTGTCACATCCAGGCCCCAAACGTTTGTCCCGGGCAGGGGCACGGTCAGTATCATTCCCGGTGAGAACACTGGGAAACTAAGCATGTGCATGGGTGGCCCTGCCTCCAGGTGGGAGGCCTCTGCCCTGCCACAGCTGTGCCTCAGCCCTCCAGGTGCCCCCCTGAGGCCCACCCGCATCAGCCCACAGGCCAGCTCACCCGGTAGAAGGACACGGCTTTCTCCCGCTCCCAGGCCCCATTGAAGAAGATGTCTCCAGCTGCCTCAAACAGCTGCAGCCCCAGGCTGGGGTCGCCTGTGTACAGGACCACATTCTGTGCCACCTGAAAGGAGACAGAAGTTCCCTCAAGACCCACACCTGGCGAGATGGCCACGCCCACCTTTGCCAGCCTCCTTCCTCTCACACACTACAGGTACACCTGAGCATTTTTCAGACCCTGTGCATTAGGGCTGCCCCCACCACTGGCATGAGGACAATGAACTGATGCACCTGAGTGCCAGGAGGTGACTGAGCAGCTGCAGCCCAGGAGCCCGACACCTGTGAATCCTACCACCAGGGCTAGCCCTAGCCCACTCCCCCTGCACTCAAACCAGTCTCCGTGGCCCCCAGATTGCTGGGAGCCCAGCCCCTGGCTCCTTTCTGCGTTGCCACATCCCTGCCACATCAACAGCGTTTGTGGGTGGGCCTGGTCCCCTCTTGGCCATGAGCTCTTGATCCCTCTTCTCAGCTCAAGGAGGTATACAGCAGATGCTCAATAATGAAAGCTTCACCAGGCTCGTGGGCTTCACAATTTGTTCCAGATCACACTGTGTTTGGGAAAGCCTCTGAAAACAGCCACTATGATAGATTCATTTTGTAAGGAGATGTGCCACGTGTCGCTTGGAGCAAGTTCTTCTGTGTGTTAACTGAGTGGTCACATTATTTGAGCATGTGCTGTATACCAGCAGGTGCTGGGCACTGTGAGGGGCCGCGCCTCTGCCCTCAGGGAGAAGATGCTGGCCACTGGGGGAGGATGTGAGGGAACCAATTGGAGGGAGGGAAAAGCACACAACAGGTGCTCAGCAGTGGCTTAGGAATGAGTGGATGGATGGATGAATGGATGAGGAGAGGTACACACATGGATGGATGGATGAGTGTGTGGATAGATTAATGCTGGGATGGATGGATGGATGGATGGACGGATGAATGGATGGACGGACGGGTGGTGGATGACGGGTGGATGGATGGATGGATGGATGGGTGATGGATGGATGGATGGGTGGATGGATGGATGGATGGATGGATGGTGGAATGATGTGTGTATGTCTGTATGTATGTATGGGTGGGTAGATAATGTATGGATGGGTGGAGGGTAGACGATGTATGTGCATATGGATGGATAGATGGTGGATAGACGAATGTATGGATAAACAAATGACAGATAGATGAATGGAGGATGGATTAATAGGTAGATTGGTGGGTGGATAGATGAATGACGGATGGATGGACGAACAGTGAATGGAGGATGGGAGAAAGGATGGATGATGGAAGGATGGATGGATGGATGAATGGATGGGGAATGGATGATGGATGGATGGAAGATGAACAGGTGGATGGATGAGATGGAAGCATGGATGGATGATGGATGGATGGATGAATGGATAAATGGATATGTGGATGGATGATGGATGGATGGAAGGATAAACAGGTGAATGGATGGATGATGGAAGGATGAATGGACAGATGGATGGACAACAGGTGAATGGATGGATAGACGGGTGAATGGATGGATAAAAGGATGGAGAATGATGGATGGATGATGGATGGATGAACGGACAGATGGATGGATGAAGGACAGATGGATGGATGAATGGACAGATGAGGATGATGGATGGATGGATGGATGGATGATGAAGGATGGATGGATGATGGATGGATGGATGGAAGGATGAACAGATGAATGGATGGATGATGGAAGGATGGATGGATAAATGGATAGATGGATGAATGATGGATGGATGAAGGATGAACAGGAGGTGAGGGATGGTTGATGGAAGGATGGATGGATGACAGATGGATATATGATGAATGGATGGATGAATGGATGTGGATGGATGAATGGTGGATGGATGGAAGGATGAACAGGTGATGGATGGAAGGATGAACAGGTGGATGGAAGGATGAACAGATGATGTATGGAAGGATGGAAGGATGAACAGGTGAATGGATGGTTGATGGAAGGATGAATGGATGGATGGATGAACAGGTGAATGGATGGATAGACGGGTGAATGGATGGATGAGAATGGATGGATGATACAAGGATGGATGATAAAAGGATAGATGGATGAATGGACAGATGGATGGATGATGGCTGGATGGATGATGGATGGATGGGATGATGGATAAATGGATGGATGAATGGATGGATGATGGATGGATGGATGATGGATGGATGAAGGATGAACAGATGAATGGATGGATGATGGAAAGATGGATGGATGATGGAAGGATGGATGGATGGATGAATGGATAAATGGATGGATGGAAGGATCAACAGGAGGTGAGTGGATGGATGATGGAAGGATAGATGGATGATAGATGGATGGACAGATATATGGATGAATGGATAAATGGATGGATGGATGAATGATGGATGGATGGAAGGATGAACAGGTGAATGATGGATGATGGAAGGATGGATGGATGAATGGACGAACAGGTGGATGGTGGCTGAATGAATGGATGATAAAAGAATGGATGGATGATGGATGGACGAATGGATGGATGGATGGATGATGGATGGATGAAGGATGAACAGGCGAATGGATGGATGATAGAAGGATGGATGGATGGAAGGATGAGCAGGCCGAGTGGATGAATGATGGAAGGATGGATGGATGATGGAAGGATGGAAGAATGAACAGGTGAATGGAATGATGGAAGGATGGAAGAATGGATGGAGGGATGGATGAACAGGTGAATAGATGGATGGATGATAAAAGGATGGATGATGAATGGGTGGATGGATGGACAGGTGAATGGATGGATCATGGATGGATGGAAGATGGTTGGTTGGATAATGGAAAGATGGATGGAAGGATGGATGGAAGGATGGACGAACAGGTGAATGGATGGATGAAGAGGTGAACTGAAGAATGATGGATGGATCGATGGATAGAAGGTGAACAGTTGGATGGATGATAGATAGATGGAAGGATGGATGGATGGACGAACAGGTGAATGGATGGATGGACAGGTGAATGGACGGATGATAAAAGGATGGATGGTAGATGGATGGATGGATGGAGGGATGGATGGATGGATGGAGGGATGGATGATGGATGGATGGATGGATGCGTGGAAAGACGAACAGGTGAATGGATGGATGATGGGATGATGGAAGGATGGAAGGATGGAAGGATGGATGGATGGATGATAGATGGATGGATGGAAGGACATACAGGTGTATGGGAAGATGATGGAAGAATGGATGGATGGATGGATGATGGATGGATGGATGGAAGGATGAGCAGGTAAAGAGATAGATGATGGAAGGATGAATGGATGGGTGGATGGACAGGTGAATGGATGGATAGATGGGTGAATAGATGGATGATAAAAGGATGGATGAATGATGGATGGATGGATGGACAGATGGATGGATGGATGGATGGATGGATGGAAGGATGAACAGGTAAAGAGATGATGGAAGGATGAATGGATGGGTGGATGGACAGAAAGTGAACAGCACAGGGGTCCTCCTGCATCCCTTGCCACTCACCTGGATGTACAGGTCCACCAGCTCGCTCTGCCGCAGGATGTAATAGATCTTCCCTGCTTGCAGCCAGGCATGCGCCTCCTTCTCTTTCTTCTGGAGGTCAATGAAAATCCCCAGACTTCGTTGGTGTAGTCCAGAGCAGATCTGCAGGCCCTGGAATCAGAAACAGGTGTCAGAACAAGGGTTCTCATCCTCCTGGAACCAGTCTGCCTCCTCCCGTGGGTCTGGTGACAGATGAATCTGGAATGTGGCAGACTGGGAACGGCCCTCTTGTGTGTGCAGTGTTCTGCCCTTCCCAGGCTGCTGGGAGGGCCAGGGTGAACACACACGGCGTGGAAAAGATGAAGGACATCCTTCTGAGGGAATCGAGCATCATGCTGCCCTGTGGCAGGAGGAGTGTGCTAGTCCATCTCCCCTGCCTCCCCAGACATGGCCTTTGTCTTCTCCAGACGCACCAGGTGCCGTTAGTGTTCAGAGGCTATCTCGGTGGATGGTTCTCAAGGTGTGCAGGCATCACAGTCACCCGGAGGCCTGTCTGTATAGCTTGCTGGCCCTGCCCCCAGAGCTTCCAGCTCCACAGGCCTGGGGCAGGCCCTAGAACTCCCACTTGCCACAAGCTCCTAGGTGACATGGATGCTGCTCTACTGGTCCAGGGACTACACTTTGAGAAGCATGGCTCTAGCACACTGGCCCATTTTCCTTCTGTGAACCTGAGGCCAAGACTGGAGCCAGTCTCCCGGGTCCTCATGGAATCTGGCTCCTTCCCTGCTCTCTCAGTAAGTCCGACACTTGATGGGGTTGGACTGCGGCAATGTCACTGGGCCCTGTGGGTGGGGTGGCCAGGGCCATGGTTACCCCACCAGGTCAGGATGCTTGGGGGAAGCCGAGTAGGCCACATATGGGACGTGAGACCTTGAAACCCTGCCCCAGGGAAGCAGGTGACACAACTGGCTCTGGCTTCTGTGGGAGAGAAGCCACAGGTGGCTGCTGTGGTCACATTTAAGGGGACAGATGAAGGCCAGGAGTGAAGATTCGGGGCAGGCAGAGGTCAGATGACAAAAGCCACCATAGTAGGAAGAACAGCCCAGAGTGCACGTACTGCCTCTGCTGGGGTGGAGATGACCTTTGACCCAACAAGGGAGGCTCAAGCTGGGACTCACGGGCCAGCAGCAGCCCTGGGACGACCCCAGGCCCACCAGCTCAAAGCATCGATGCCAAGGAACCAAATGATCAAAGGAGAGGGGCTGCTGGGGTCCTGGGCCAGCTTTCTTGTGCCCCCCTCCCTGCCCTGCCTGCCCCCACCCCACCACTGGCAAAGCCAGCCCTTACCGCTTGTTGCCCAGGACAGGTAGAGTTGACTGATGGTCTCCAGGAGCTGCCCCTCCAGCACCTTGTCGGCCACCTTGCGGGCCAGGGAGAGCTGGAGCTCATGGTAGATGACACACTGGGCCTCGCTGGGCATGACGGTGCTGTAGAAGTAGCACAGCCACTGGACAGTCCGCAGCTGGCCTGGGCAGAAGACAAAATGGAAGACGTTAGTCTCCCAGCATTGAAGCGAGGCTGGCTGGGCTCGGAGGCCCCTGCGCTGTGCTTGCCTCTTTCACACCTCCGTGAACCTGGGCCCCATAGGCGGGGAGACTGAGCGCAGACAGGCCATGCACCCGTGCCAGGGCAGACGCCAAGCACACCGTGACATGGGCACACCTTGGTGCAGAGGCTCACGGTAGAGGCCGGCCTTCTTTACAACTCCCAGGGCCGAGGTCCTGACCAGGCTCGGTGCCTGCACCAGGCCATCTATTTCTGCTTCACAAAGCCCCTCTGCCCAGGACCAGGGCTGCCTTCAGCCTGAGCTGATGAGGCCAGGGGCACAAGGAGCCCCTGTCGCAGATGGAACCCTGAGAGAGCAAAGCCAAGTGTCATGTCCGCCACACACGGCATCATATTGGGGGAATGGGGTTCAAAGCCGGCCCCTGGCATTCCCACACATGCTTCTCTCATGCAACCAGGCTCCCAAGCCACAGGCTCACTGGTCTCTCCCAAATCCAGGGCGCTGGGAATGGTGGAAAGTTTCTGATTTTCTAGTGCCAGAAACATTCCGGAGATTAACACAGGAAACCAGGTACGCCGAATGGACATCTGTTACACACGCCACCCAACGACAGCTGAATACACAGTCCTCTCGAGCACCCAGGGGACATTTCCCATGACAGACCATGTGCCAGGCCACAAAACGAGCCTCAGTGAAGGGAGAAGGACTGAGACCGAAGCAGAGGTGTTCTTCAGCTGTACTGGCACGAAACTGGAAATCAACAGTGAAGGAAATGTGGGAAATTCAAAAATATGTGGAAATTACACACTCCTAAACAACCAGTGAGTCAAAGAGACCATCAGGGAAACCGAAAACTAATTTGAGAAGAATGCAAACAAATGAACAGCCCGGGCCAGCGCGGTGGCTCACGCCTGTCATCCCCGCACTGTGGGAGGCCGAGGCGGGAGGATCGCTTGAGTCCAGGAGTTTGAGATCAGCCTGGGAAACATGGTGAAATCCCGTCTCTATAAAAAATAAAATATAAAAATTAGCTGGGTGGGGTGGTGCATGTCTGTAATCCCAGCTACTCGGGAGGCTGAGGCATGAGAATGGCTTGAACCTGGGTAGAAGTTGCAGCGAGCCAAGATTGCACCACTGCACCCCACCCTGGGCAATAGAGCAAAACTCCATCTTAAAAAAAAAAAAAAATAGCAGTGTATCAAAAATTCCAAGATGCAGCTAAGGCAGTGCTGAAAGGGAAATTTATAACGGTAAATGTCTACATTCAAAGAAAGAAGAAAAATCTCAAATCAAAATCCTAACCTTCCACCTTTAGAAACTAGAAAAAGAATGAACTAAACCCAAAGCGAATAAAAGGAAGAAAATAATAAACATGAGAGTGGAAATGGGAAGTAAAAATACAGAGAATGGAAAAACAAGAGAGATAATCAACAGAACCAAAAGTGGGTTTTTTGAAAATAATAACAAAATTGACAAATCTTTCACCAGACTGACCAAGAAAAGAAAGATGGACACAAATGACTAAAATCAGAGACTGAGCCCCATGGCTCACGCCTGTCATCCCAGCGCTTTGTGAGGCTGAGGTGGAAGGATCGCTGAGGCCAGCATTCAAGACCAGCATGGGGGAACATGATGAGACCCCATCTCTAATAAAAAGAAATAAATAAGAAATTAAAAACCCAAGTTTCTAAAATCAGAAATGAAAGAGGAAACATTATTGCTGACCTGACAGAAATAAAAGGATTCCATGAAAACACTACGAACAATTGTAGACCAACAAATCAGACCATCTAGACACAACAGCCAACTCCTAGAAGGACACAAACTACCGAAAGTGACTCAAAAATGACCCCAAGTAAGCATGTGGGGTATAGCCCCGTCCTCGGTCTCCTCGACCGTTCAGCGCAGGGTGGGGAGACAGGGAAGCATGATCCCCGTTCCCTGGCCTGCATTTCCAAGTCTGAATCCCCCAGCACCCCCGGGGACCGCCTCGTAGGAGGAGGTGCCACAGGCTATTGTGCCAGGAGCCACGGGAGGCTGCAGTGGGGGCTGGGGCGCTGGATTCCTGGAGGGTCTCCTTCCAGTGAGAGAATGCCCCTGGGGAAGAAGCCTGGGTCTGAACCCCCCACCCCTCCTTGGGCAGATGTGTGGGACCGGGGCCCCTTCACACGGTCTTTCCCAAAGTCTCATCCCTCCTAGGGCCAGGAGTGGGTGCCAGGCCTGTGCTGGGAAATGGGCAGATTTGGCCACAGCCCCTGGGGCTCTGGTCCAGGCCACAGGAGGCACCTCTGAGTGGTCTCACTATGCCATGACAAAGCGCTGCAAGGCAGAGGGACCCACAACAGGATCCCTTGTCTCGGCCATTTCCCTGGACTCAACTTCCTCATCTATCCTCTGCGGCCTAGATTTCGGACAGCCCTGCCCACTGACTGTCCGTTCACTGCTCAGTCTGCAGTGACTGTTCGATAGCACTCCATGGCTCCCCAGTGCTCTTGGGGAAAAGGCCAAGCCACAGCCTGAGGCCCCAGGCCCTGCTTAGCTCTCCAGAAGAGCTTCTCACCATCCAGCACCCAACTCACCCACTCCTAACTCTGCACCTCCCTGCATAAGCCCTGCTCACTCACCCCTGCTCACACCCCACTTATCCCTGCTCACACTTCCGCTCACTCACCCAATCACACCTCCGCTCACTCACCCCCACTCAGTCATCCCCCTCACACTCCCACTCACTCACCCCATCACACCTCCGCTCACTCACCCCCACTCACTCATCTCCACTCACACTCCCGCTCACTCACCCCACTCACTCACCACCACACCCCACTCATCCCCGCTCACACTCCTGCTCACTCACCCCCATCACACCTCCGCTCACTCACCACCACTCACTCATCCCCGCTCACACTCCCGTTCACTCACCCCCACTCACCCCACTCACTCACCCCACTCAATCACCCCCACTCACTCACCCCCGCTCACACCCTCTTCATCCCCGCTCACTCACCCCCACTCGCTCACCCCTGCTCACACCCCACTCATCCCCACTCACACTCCCTCTCATTCACCCCCATCACACCTCCGCTCACTCACCCCCACTCACTCACCACCACTCACCCCACTGGCTTATCCCTGGTCCTTCACACAGGCTACACCACAGCCCCTCCCCCACCACCTATTACTTGACTAAATCCTCTCAACCCTCTGGTCCCAGACTAAAGAGGCTTCCCTAACCCGGGGCCAAGTGCTGCCCCGCCATCATGCCACTCACCCTTTTGTGGCTTCTCTGGCCTAAAGCTCACATTCCCACGCTTAGTCCCTGCCACCCAAGGACCCCACAAGCCCCATTTGTGGTGGGGCCTGACACACACTGCACAAGAGCTGCTTTTGCATGAACTGCTCTGCGGCTTTGGGCAATCACCCGCCCCGTGTCCTCTGTGAAGTGGGATGACAGGTGCGCAGGCTGCCAACATACCAAGCAGATAACACGGGCACAAGAACCGGCGTTCAGGGCCTGGCTCATGGAGGGCCCCAAGTCCCAACTCAGCAGAGCCTGCCTTGATCCCAGGGTTATGGCTAGGGATTCCCAGCACGCAGGACTTTCTGTGCTCAAGGCAGCATGGTCCCTGGACAAACTGGGAAGAGCTGGCTGCCCCAGTAGGGCAGAGGGCCTGGCCTGTGTGGGAACGCCTGTCTCCAGGGCGCTTGCCAGCATCTGCTGCTGGCCATGACTCAGCACTTTCAATGGTGGAAAAACCACCCCTTGTTTCTGAATCACAAACCCCAGGTGTGCCCTGACCCGAGTGGCCCCAGAAGGCGCACAGGAGGAACCGGGGCACTCACTCTCCACATGGCCATCCCACAGTGACCAGAAGGGCCCACTCATAGTAGCCCTTGCCCTGCTGGGCCGGACCCTGGTGGGTGCAGAGGTGGCCAGCTGCAGGAGCACGTGGTGAAGTCCCGGCCACACTCCCTGCAGGGCAGCCTCGATAACAGCCGCACGGCCTCCAGGAGGTAGTGCTGGGCCATGCTGCTGGCACCCGCGTGCAGGCACAGGGTCCCGAAGTTGGCCAGCACCACTGCCTGGTTCCTCCGCTGGCCCAGGTCCTGAGCTGCCCGCAGGGTGCTGTAGTAGCCCTAGGCTGCCTGTCTCGTCCGGCCCAGCAGGGCAAGGGCTACTATGCCTTCAGAGCCACGTCTCTCTCTTGTCATCTAACCCATTTAAACTCTCCTTTCAAACTATATGCCAGACCTAACCACCTCTCACCTTTCTCATCATTTCCAACCAGGTCCAGCCCTCATCATAGCGCTCTGGGTTACTGCAAAAGCCTCCCAATCGCAGGCACAGTGGGTCATGCTTGTAATCCCAGTACTTTGGTAGGCCAAGGCAGGTGGATCATCAGAGGTCAGGAGTTCAAGACCAGCCTGGCCAACATGGTGAAACCACTCTACTAAAAATACAAAAAATTAGCCAAGCATGGTCGTGGGCACCTGTAATCCCAGCTATTCGGGAGGCTGAAGCAGGAGAACCACTTGAACTCAGAAGGCAGAGGTTACAGTGAACCGAGATCGTGCCATTGCACTCCAGCCTGGGTGACAAGAGCGAAACTCCATCTCAGAAGGTTAAAAAAAAAAAAGCCTCCCAACCCACTTCTCTCCTTACACCTTTCACCCTGCCCTGCATTCTACCTTCCACTCTCAAACATTTCAGGAAAAAAAAAAATTGTATCCACAGAGAGAGAAAGAGAAAGTACAAATGGGGTGAAATGTTGGGGAATCTGAGGGAAGAGTATATGGGAATTCTCTGTACTATTTTTGCAAATTTCTATAAGTCTGGATTATTTTGAATTCAAGAGTTAGACAAAGAAAAAACAAAAACAAAAACAAAACACTATCTCCCTTTGTGAACCCATGCTGTCTTTCCCCTGGCAACTGAAGGACGCTCTCAACTAACACATCTATTTTCTCATGAACACTAAAAGAACCCTTGCCTAGTTTTGACTTTCTGTGCTTGACAGAAGAAGTGTGTGTGTGTGTGTGTGTG